AAGATGTTGGTGTTGGCCGCCTTGTCTTTCCTGTCATTGGATTCCTAGTATTAAGCACAGTGCTTAGCACGTAGGAAGTGCTCTGTAAATGTTGGATGTTGGGATGGGTGGATGGGTAGATGGGCAGTTGGTGGTTAGGCAGAGAATTAGGAAACATATAAAGTAAAGAAGTAAATGTAAGTTTAAATTTATAAGATGTTAAATATGAAGTGATGGGATCTAGAATACCACCATGGCTTTGAGCTGGGAACAAAGTGATCCTTTTGTATATAGTTTTGGTATTTTTGTTTTTGTTTTCTTTTAAACGGAAGAAGACATGCTTGAATCCTCATATCACAATGAGGCTATGGGAATGGGTAAAAAATTGTGATCAGAAATACAGACTAGTAAATCTAGTACAAAACAGAGATTAGTAACCTACTACAGATAACAGCTCCTTCCCTAGAGGCCCGTGGAAGTCTACACACTCAGCCCTTTGATAAGTCTTATGCCATTTTCCCCCTTTTTTCAATTTTTATGAGTCCATGTTTGCTGTATAATGATCACATTGGTTTATGAATATGATACAGCTTAATTATTTTCTCATTCCCTTTCCTTCCCTGCCCTTCCTCCCCCCTCAATCTCTTGGTCCCCTTCCTATTTACAAAATATCTCTTTCCCTTTCCTGTTATCTGTCTTCTGCTGTGCTCTGTGATGTAGTTATACTTTGGGTTTCTCATATAAGAGGAACCATGCAATGATCTTGGCTGTGTGTCTGTTTAATTTCGCTTAACATTGTGGTCTCAAGGCACATCCCTTCAACAGGCCTCATTTGCCTCTTTCCTTGGAGTGGCACAGAAGTTGACAAGACAGAGAATGGCCCAGGATGCGGTAAGGACCAGGCACCGTTGGGAAGGACAGACTGTGAGCATCAAGGAGCAGCCAACAGCAGCACAGCCACAAAGACTGTTCCTCTAAGGCCCTGGACGGAGGTCAGGTCGGCCTTGCGGGATGCGCAGAGCCTGGTGTGCTCCGAGATGGGCGACATCCTCCTCGTGCGCCTGCTCATGGGGGTGGCAGTGATGCTGTACCACAGCAACTTTGTCCTGGCGCTGGAGGAGCGCTTTGGGTTACGACCTCGGGCCTCGGGCTACCTCATCAGCTACAGCAGTGCCCTGGGTGCCCTGGCAGGCCTCACCCTAGGACCCATCCTGCACCTTTATGGTCACAACTTGCACGCAGCCCTGCTGCACTCCAGTGCACTCACCTGTGCACTGCTGCTGCTCCACGCCTTGGCTGGCACTATGGCCCTGGTGGTCCTCACCTCCACATTCCTGTCCTTCTCCACCAACATCGGCAGGACCTGCATCACTGACCTGCAGCTGACTATGGGTGGTGCCCGAGCCAGCGGTGCTGTCATCGGTGTGGGACAATCAGTGACTGCTGTAGCCCGCATCATTGCCCCTCTCCTCTCAGGAGTGGTGCAGGAGGTCAGCCCCCGGGGGCCTCCCAGTCTGGGGGCTGCCTTAGCCTTGGTGGCTGTTCTTATAATGTCACTCAACAAATCTCACTCCAGGGGCCCTGAGAGTAGGAAGGTAAAGAGTGAGTAGGACACACTTGGACAATTGGTAGTGTTCAATCAGGGTCAGTGGCCATAATGAGAAAGGAAGTAATGGAAAGAGTCAAGTGTGTAAGTGAGTCATTTGCATGCGGGCATGCTCTGCGGCCATGCACTTATGTTTATGGGACAATTGGAAGTCACAGGGACAATTGGAAAGTTAGGATTGGAGCAGAGCTTTGCCAAGAGGGACCATGTGCATTGTTTACCTGAAATATTCTCTTTGGACCAAATGATAAGTTAAAACTTCCAGGTTAAGAAAAATTCCTAGCTATAGGAGAGGGAATGGTAGCGGAACCATGGATCGCTATGTATGGTAAGAGGGAAGAAGCTATGAGCACGTCCCCACCAAGGATTAGACCAGCACATTAGGGACACGCTGGTCACCTGGAGCTCCTTGCTGTGACAATCCAAAGAAGCTGCTGGATTAATCCAGGCGGCAAAGCCAGGTCTGGGAGTATACACCTGTAATCCAGCCCTCAGAGATACTGAAGCAGGAAGATTGCAAGTTTGATCCCAGCCTGGACAATTAGTGAGATCCTGTCTCAAAAGAGCCGATGCTCTGAGTTCAATCCCCATTACCTCACCTCCAAAAAAATCCCAAAATGAGCATTTTTATGCAGATTAAGGGTCCATGACATGCCATATAGGAGAAGCAGGGTTACATAAGGTTCGTGTTCAAAGTCGCATCCTTTACTTCATTTTAATTTTGTGCCCAGAAAGAGCCACATTGAGCCACAAGGAATGTTAGGCATACATTTTCCTAGACCTTCTCAAAACTTCCCTTTCATTAGCAGCACCCAGGGACCCAGGGCCAGGGCCAGGCCCTAAGAAAAGTCTGTGCCAACTCAGGGAGGCACAGACTGAGCACACTG